CTCTGCAATTTCATTGAGCAGGCGAGTGCCACTTGATACTTTACGGATTGGGTGTCGTGGGGTCCACAGACAGCTCAAAAGACGTTTACGGGAGCCAGGAATCTGCATGGGACGCAAACCTGCTTGGATTCTTACGCTTTCCATTATAATTGCTATATGAGAGAGTGGTACTATCAAGGCGCATCGTTGCTGGGGATTCCCCAACAGGAGAGTGTTGTGTCTTTAAAAATAAGACAGCAGTAGAATATTTATTGGAAGACAGTAGTATAACAACATAGAAAATAACCCGTTTATATACTCCTCTGCCTGGTCAAAGTATCCAGTCAAAATAGGCCACACCCCAACACCTTCCCCCCCTAAGATTGACGGCTGCCGTACGATTTGGCGTACGGGTCAATCTGAAGAATATGCTGGAGGGCGACGAGTGCGGCTTGATCGTCGTCTTGCAGCGGCTGGAGGCACTGTAGTCGTTGTTGTTGTTGGAGCAGCAGCAACGATTGAAGGCTGAGGCGTTCGAGCAAGAGTGCGCTTGAATGTGTCCACGAAGCGCTCAGCTTGTCCATTGGATTGGGGGTGGAAAGGCGGCGACCGGATATGCTCGATTCCTTTCTTCTTACAAAAATCCTGGAACTCAGCAGCGGTGAATTGAGTACCATTATCCGAGACGATGACACGCGGGAATCCGAACTGAGCGAACAGCGACGGAGTTCCTTCAGTGTGGCGGTGCTGGTGGTAGAAGTCATTGAGATGACTTCGGGCCATTTGGAGAATGCGTCGACGATCACCAGGTACGACATTCCATCGATTGGGCCGGCAAAGTCGATGTGGATCCGGCTCCATGGCGCATCCGAACGAGGCCAAGAACAGAGCGTGTTCTTGACTGGCGACTTGGCGGCTTCTTGGCAATCGTTGCAGGCACGGACGAGTTTCTCCACATCCTCGTTGATCCTCGTCCAGAAGACATATTGACGAGCGAGGGCTTTCATTCGGTTAACTCCTGGATGTCCCTCGTGTAGCATTTTCAGAACAGACGGCTGGCGGAATGACTATGCGGCTTCCAAAGAGCAGGCATCCCTGTTGTGTTGAGAGTTCGCTGCGTAGATGGGCGTACCTCGCAACGGTAGGTGATGGTTTTCGGCCAGCTGTTGTGAGCGATATGGTCCATCACTTGACGGAGACAGTCGTCTTCAGATGTTGCGTGGGCAACCTCCTTGGCAGTGACCGGTAAGCGGCTCACGTTCTCGGCGAAGATGGCGTTAACGTCCTTGGCGATACTGGCAATGATAACGTCTTCTTCCGGTGGCGATTGCATGGCGATGAGACGAGACAGTGCGTCGGCTTGTCCGAAGCTTGCGGTGTTCCGGTACTCGATGTCGAAATCGTAGGCGAGCATCGTAAGTCTCCATCGTTGCAATCGGTTGCGGAATAGGCAGGGACTCCTTTCCTTAGATCCGAAAAGTGGCTTGTGGTCTGTGAGCAAGGTGAAACGGCGCCCGTAGACATAGCGATGGAATTTCCGGACAGCGTAGACGAGCGCCAGACCTTCTTTTTCCACTTGACCATAGTTCTTCTCCGCCGTGGTGAGAGAGCGGCTGGCGTGGTAGACAGCTTTCTCTGTTCCGTCTTGATAGCGATGAGAAATAACTGCTCCGATCCCATAGTCTGAAGCGTCGGCCGCGACGATGATGGGCATCTTGGGGTCGTAGTGAGCCAGGAGCAGGTCCGAAAGCGGCTTCGCATTCGGAGTTCCAGTTGAACGGAGCTTCCTTCTTGAGTAGTGCGTCGAGCGGTGCACGGAGCTGGCGCATCTCTGGAACGAATGCTCCGTATGGTTGATGAGTCCGAGGAATGACCGGACCTGGGCGGTATCCTTCGGTGTTGGCATCTTGGAGATAGCGTCGATCTTCTTTGGATCGGGTCGGCGTCCGGCAGCAGTGATGACGTTTCCGAGATAGGTGAGCTGTGTCATCACGAAGTGGCACTTGTCGATGCGGACGCGGAAGCCGTAGTCGGATATCCTTGAAAATAGGGCTTCCAGGTTGGCGTTGTGCTCGGAGAGAGTGCGGCCGGTGACGATGACGTCGTCGAGGTAGGCAGCAACGCCGTTGAGTCCAGCGATCATGGAGTCGATGATCTGCTGGAAGATGCCAGGAGCTGACTTGACTCCGAACGGTAGACGATTGTATCTGTAGAGTCCTCTGTGCGTGTTGATGGTGAGGAGCTCTCTGGAGTCGTCATCGACTTCGACCTGTAGATAAGCGTCGGCGAAGTCGATTTGTGAAAAGACGGTTCCGCCATTGAGCTTTGTGAAAACATCCTCCGCGGTGGGTAGTGGATGCCTGTGCAACAGCAATGCGTCGTTGAGTCCCTGTCGAGAAATCGGCGCAAAGTCGAATGGATCCATTGGCCTTTCTCACAACGACGATTGGCGCAGCCCATCGAGAGTGATCGACGGCGGAGATGACGTTCTGTGCCATGAGACGGTCGATCTCGGCGTCGACAAGCGGTATGGAGGCGTAGGGAACCGGTCTCTTCTTGATAAAGACTGGGCGAGCATCGGGCTTGAGGTAGAGTGTCGCCTTGGTCTTGGTGCAGTATCCAAGTCCGGGCTTGAAGACATCCATGAACTGGTGCTTCAGCTTGGCGATCGTCTGTTCTCGGAGCGCCTCGTTGTTCAGTGTTTGGACCTTCTGTACGTTGAATCGCCTCAGAACGTGGTTGAAATCTCGAATCTGCTCGATCCATGTGATGCCGAGAAGGTGGGGACTCGTTTGCTCCTTTGAAGACGTCGGAGGTCTTCTGTAGATGAGGGCTTCCGAGCTGCATCCAGGTTGGACGAGAAATGATGGTGACGTCGGCGCCGGTGTCCAACTGGAGGCGGGTGGGATGTCCGTTGATGTGGACTTCCAGGTACTTTTGGACATCTCCTGGACGGCCGATGACGCGTTGGTACCAGGTGCGCGGTGATGACTGCTTGATGCGACGTCGTGGCGCAGTCCTTGACTCCTGGGTGGCACTGGTAGCGTGGCGGTTTTCTGGACAGTCCTTCTTCCAATGTTGCTGCTGGCAGATTGGACACGGTGAGGGTGGCAGTGATGATTTGGTTGGGCGAGGCAGACGGTGCTTTCTCCTCTTCTGGACAGCATGGATTTCTTGTGAACTGACGGTTTCGACGATTCTGGAGTCATCCTTTGACCGATTTCCAGGCATGGTATTCCTTGGCCAAATCGTCGATGGTGGTCTTGTCGTCTTCGTCCAGCTTGCGCAGGAAGCGGACGCGGTAGTCGGCGAGCTCTGGAGCTTGGAAGGCGAAAACCAGAGCCAGGCATTCCAGAGTCTCTTGCCTGATTTCCTTGAAATTGGCTTCCATAGCGCGGGCCTTCAGCGAATTCACGAAGTTATCGATGTCTTCGTTCGGCGAGAAGTTCATGCGAAAACATTCGAAGCGGCGGCGGAAGAGGCTCTTCTTGGTGCCGAACAGCGTCTTCAGAGCATCCAGCGTTTCCGTCCAATTAAGCTCTCTGGGTTCCTTGGGAAGAATGTGGCGCACGAAGCGTGTGTGGCTTGCAAGTGCAGAGACGAGGAGACGTGTCCTCATCTTCTCTTCCATTCCCTGGCAGTCGACCTCGAAAATGTCCTTGTGCCTGCTGAACCACATGTTGAAGCAGTCGTCTTGATCGGTGTCGTACGAGAACTTGTGATTCGGTCGAGGATAGATTCTTGCGGCGTGGTTGTGGGCGATGACATCTTCTGAAGCAGGTCGATGAGGAGCTTCTGCTGGGTGGCCATCATCTGCACGAGATCCTTGAGTGGAGCTTCTTCTGACATCATTGTGGCGGCGGTGTGGTCCTCGAAGTCCTTGTCCTGATCGCCAGTTGTTGTTTCCTTGAGATTGAGGCAGCAGAAGAATA